AGAAGAAGCGGAAAAGGAGAAGGAGAGGATGACCGAGGGGAAGATTCCGGATCAATATCGGGAATTTGTCAAAGTATTTGCCAAGGAATCGTTCGACTCGCTGCCAGACCGATGGGCATGGGATCACGCAATCGAGCTCAAACCCGGTGCCAAGGCAGTGGACTGCAAGGTGTACCCATTATCACGCAATGAACAAGTCAAACTCGACGAATTCCTACAAGAGAACCTGGCCAGTGGACGGATCAGGCCATCAAAATCACCGATGGCATCAGCATTTTTCTTTGTCAAGAAGAAGGATGGTTCGCTACGTCCCGTCCAAGATTATCGGAAGCTGAACGAGATGACGATCCGGAATCGATACCCGCTACCGCTGATCTCCGAACTAGTCCACAATCTATGCGGCGCAAAGTTCTTCACCAAACTCGACATCCGATGGGGATATAACAATGTACGGATCAAAGAGGGCGACGAGTGGAAGGCTGCATTCCGCACGAACCGAGGGCTTTACGAGCCCTTAGTCATGTTCTTTGGTCTCACGAACTCCCCGGCCACCTTCCAAAATATGATGAACGACATACTCCGAGAGTTGATCAACGAGGGTCACGTGGTAGTCTATCTGGATGATATACTGATCTTCACAGAAAACTTGGATGAACATCGGCGGATCACGAAACGAGTACTCGAATTGCTTCAGAAACACAAGCTATACCTGAAGCCCGAAAAGTGCGAGTTCGAACGCACGGAAATCGAATATTTGGGTGTAATTATTGGACACAACTCGATGCGGATGGACCCAGTCAAGATCAAGGGCGTGATGGAATGGCCGGAACCAAAGAGCGTCAAACAAGTCCAAGCGTTTCTAGGATTCACAAACTTCTATCGACGCTTTGTTTGGGGATACGCGGAGGTTGCCAAACCGTTGACACGGTTGACAGGGAAGGCAGGATGGTCATGGGGTACGGATGCGCGGGCAGCATTTGATGGGTTGAAGAAGAGAATCGCGGAGGATGCGGTCTTAGCACTGCCAAACGACACCGGCCAATATCGTCTGGAAGCCGATGCTTCGGAAGGGGCAACAGGATCCGTTTTGAGCCAAAACCAAGACGGCATTTGGCGCCCAATCGCATTTATTTCGCACGCATTAACTGAAACCGAGCGAAATTACGAGATCTACGACAAGGAAATGCTTGCAATCATGTTATCGCTTGACGAATGGAGGCAGTTACTCCTGGGAGCCACGGAAACGTTCGAGATATTCACCGATCATCAGAATCTCGAATACTTTCGGAAGCCGCAGAAGCTCAATCGACGGCAAGCACGATGGATCACGGAGTTGGCGGAGTTTGATTTCACCTTACGACACCGGCCCGGCGCGCTCAACCGCAAAGCGGATCTCTTATCCCGACGAGCAGATCACGATCAGGGCAAGAACGACAACAAGGACGTCACGCTACTAAAGCCCGAGTTCTTCCGATCACAAGAAGTCACATTTGAGGGACAGGATCAGCAGCTAATTGATGAAATCAAGGCCATTCGATCAATTGATGGAAGCGTCAAGGCGGCTTTGGAGAAGTCACTCGTCGGATGGAAGAAGGAAGAGGGGCTTATCACGTATCATGGGAAGATCTATGTACCAAGAGACAAGGAGTTGCGGGACAAGATCATCGGACTACACCACGACACCCCTTTGGTCGGACACGCTGGGATCAACCAAACACAGGAGATGGTGGAAAGGAATTACTGGTGGCCAAGGATGGGAAACCAAATCCGGAAATACATCCAAACGTGCGAGGCGTGCCAGCGGACCAAGACCAGGAGAGCAAGGACAGGGAGTCTACACCCGCATGCAGTCCCAAACGCGCCGTGGGAAATCATCTCCATGGATCAGATCGGACCCTTGCCGGTCAGTAACGGGTATGACGCAATTCATGTGTGGTGTGACACCTTCACCAAAATGATCCATGTCGAACCAATTAGTACTGACATCAGCAGCGAAGGAGTGGCACGATGAACCAGGGACCGAGTCTTCCGCTACCACGGGATCCCTCGCAAGATCATCACCGACAGGGATTCGCGCTACATCAAGGGCTTCATGAGGGAGACGAATCGGATGTTGGGCGTAGAAATGAACCTGGGGACCGCATATCACCCGATCACGGATGGGCAGACAGAACGCATGAATCAGGAGATCGAGCATTATCTCCGCATCTACGTCAATTACCATCAGACGGACTGGTCGGAGTGGCTGGGAATGGCGGAGTTCGCATACAACGACAAGATGAACACGTCTACCAAAATATCGCCATTCTATGCGAATCACGGATATCACCCGTGGAAGGGAGTGGAGCAACGGATGGAGTCAAGGAACGAGTCGGCGGAGGAATTCGTAAAAAGAATCAAAGAAATACAAGACGAAGCAAAAGCAGCACTAGAAAAAGCAAAAGAAAAAATGAAAAAATACTACAATAAACAAAGAAAAGAAGTTCCGGAGTTGAAGGTGGGGATGAAGGTGTACATAGAAGGGGAAAATATCGAGACGGATAGACCATCAAAGAAGATGAGCGACAAGAGATTAGGACCATACGAGATACTGGAGAAGGTTGGAGCGGCCGCATGGAAACTGGACTTGCCGGACACGGACCGAAGACACCCGGTGTTCAACGAGTCACTATTGAAACCATATCACGAACCACCCCCCCATCGCCAAGAGAAGAGACCCATAGCCAAGATGATCGGAGGAGCAGAGGAGTGGGAAGTTGAAGAGATTGTGAAAGAGCGAAACGTCGGCCGAGGAAAACAGTACTTGGTCAAACAGAAGGGATGGCCGCATAGCGAGAACACCTGGGAACCATCACGTCACCTTACCCACGCGAAGAAGGTCCTGAGAGATTGGCAGAGGAAACAATCAAACCCAGACACACGCATTCGCCTCCTACCAACGCTCGAAGCCGGACATTGGGACTATCTCATCCATCGTTACAAACCCAGAGACGAGCGCCTTCCATACCCGCAACGACAACTCTTCGACCCTTACGACAACGTCTTCACACCCATTGGCCTAGTCGATGAGGACATCGACCCTAGAGAGGGGGTAATGTCATAATTCGACTCTTTTTCATCTTATCATCGGCAATCTTATCTTATCTTGGCACGACTTATCTTATCACGGATCATGGCATCAGGCGGTCCGGGCTAGGGGTTCCAGGGGTTATCTCTATCAATTCGAGGCTGCGCGACATATGCTCCGGAAGGTTCTACTACAACCCATGACCAGTGCTCCATACGGTACATAGCCCTATGACTCATTAGTTGTAGATATGACTCAGACTGGACTTGGGTATAAATACTGTAGCTACTTGGTTGTATTCTCCAGTCTTGGAATTCACTTCTCTTTTCGACTTGTTTTGGGTTGATTGTCACAAGGAGTGTGAACGTGTTTATATTTGGGTTTACTTTCATAGTAGATTCACCTGTGAGCACGCCCTCAGCATTTCACCGGGCCGGTGTCGTAAGGTGAAATCAAACTCCACCAATTCCGTGATCCATTGTGCTTGTTGTCGATTGAGCTTCTGTGGCTTCCGAAAGTATTCAAGATTCTGATGATCAGTGAAGATCTCGAACGTTTCCGTGGCTTCCAGTAGTAACTGCCTCCATTTGTCCAATGATAGCATGATTGCAAGTATCTCCTTGTTGTAGATCTCGTAATTTTGCTTGGTTTTGGTCAATGCATGCAAAATAAATGTGATTGGGCGCCAAATGCCGTCTTGGTTTTGGCTCAAAACGGAGCCTGTTGCCCCTTCCAAAGCATCGGCTTCCAGACGATATTGGCCGGTGTCATTTGGCAGTGCTAAGACCGCATCCTCCGCAATTCTCTTCTTCAACCCATCAAATGCCGCACGCTCATCCATACCCCATGACCATCCTGCCTTCCCTGTCAACCGTGTCAACGGTTTGGCAACCTCCGCGTATCCCCAAACAAAGCGCCAATAGAAGTTTGTGAATCTGAGGAAGGCTTGGACCTGTTTGACGCTCTTTGGTTCTGGCCATTCCATCATGCCCTTGATCTTGACTGGGTCCATCCGCATCGAATTGTGTCCAATAATTACACCCAAATATTCGATTTCTGTGCGTTCGAACTCGCACTTTTTGGGTTTCAGGTACAACTTGTGTTTTTGGAGCAATTCGAGTACTTGCTTCGTGATCCACCAATGTTCGTCCAAGGTTTCTGTGAAGATCAATATATCATCAAGATAAACTACCACGTGGCCCTCATTGATCAGTTCTCGGAGTATGTCGTTCATCATATTTTGAAAGGTTGCCGGGGAATTTGTGAGACCAAAGAACATGACCAAGGGCTCGTACAGTCCGTGGTTTGTGCGGAATGTAGCCTTTCACTCGTCGCCCTCTTTGATCCATACGTTGTTGTATCCCCACCGGATGTCAAGCTTTGTGAAGAACTTGGCGCCGCATAGATTATGGACCAGTTCAGAGATCAGCGGCAGTGGGTATCGATTTCGGATCGTCATCTTGTTCAGCTTTCGATAATCTTGGACAGGGCATAGGGAGCCATCCTTTTTCTTGACAAAGAAAAATGCTGATGCCATGGGTGATTTTGATGGCCTGATCCGTCCGCTGGCCAGGTTCTCTTGTAAGAACTCGTCGAGTTTGACCTGTTCATTTCGTGATAGCGGGTAAACCTTGCAGTCCACTGCTTTGGAGCCTGGTTTGAGTTCAATTGCATGGTCCCAGGTTCATTGGTCCGGTAGTGAGTCGAATGATTCCTTGGCAAATACTTTGACAAATTCCTGGTATTGATCCGGAATCTTCCCCTTGGTCATCCTCTCCTTCTCTTTTTCCGCTTCTTCTGCGAATTTCTGCGCCGGTGTTTCCTTCAGCCGTAGATCCACCTCCTTTCCAAAGTCGATCAACAGGATCGATTCTCCCTCTTCCAGATCCGGTGTGCCCATGTCCAGGTCAATTGCATCCATGTCGATCATTGCTTAGTGCTCCTCGTGACCCCTCATGTGACACCGCTCTGGGCACCGGCTGAATCTCATTGTCTGCTCCTGCCAATCCACCTCCGGGTTGTGTTCCATCAGCCAATCAAGTCCAATGAAGATCCGGGCCTTCCCTAGGCACGTCAGAAGGAACGTGTGTGTCTCCACATGAGGACTGATTCTCATCCTTAGGTCGACATAATGCATGATCCAACCGCTGATGTTCTCGGTGTTGTCGGCGTTACGAGCCACGATGGGTTGCAGAAGCTCTTGGATATCCAGCTTCTCTGCCCACGCGTAGTCGGTATTGATGCAGCAGGTACTGCAGCCACTATCAAGTAGCACCTTGACTCTGCGCGTCTTTCCTGAGTCCAGACCCGTGATCTGGACATATACGTCCATTGAATGCCTCTTCCTTTTGGTCTGTTAGTTGCGCAATTCCTGCACCAGTCTGCTGGGCTGGGGGCCCTTCCATTTCTCGGCCACCAATTTCCTCTGGATGGCATCTGGCACCCTTGTGCGTTTGAGTGCTTCTGGAACCTTGATTTTGGCAGATTCCTTAGGTGCTTCCTCCTTTTCCAAGGATTGAGCCTCTGGAGCGATGCTCCCCTTTTTGGTCTTTGTTGACGTGGTTTCTTCTCCATGAGCCATAAATATGTAGGAGTCCAAAAATAATTTATCTGTAGTCTTCTGATCATTTTACTCTGTAAATACTCTCTATTTAAAGCTATTTTTCTTTGGCGTTCTTTTTCCATATCAGCAATGAGAAAATCGTGAATATTGGTACGTAGTGAGTCTGAGATTGTGTATGTATGTGGAGAATTGTTCATATCTTTAATTGAAACAAGTACAGAAAATTGTCTATAGTCCAGACGCTCCACCTCCTTGGCTAGAGGAGTGGAGCGCTTCAAAAACCCTTCTCACGCAGCTTCTTGGCAATCTCCTTGAGGAACTCATTGTCCTTGTCCCCGTTCTCGATCTCTTCAAGCATCGTGGCCCGATTGAAGAATGTGCGCTTCTTCCTTGGTTCCGGGCAGTTCCGCGCAATGTGCCCAGGCTGCTGACAGTTGTAGCAGATGATATTGCGGCTGCGGGCATGGGTGCAATCAATTTCCATTGGAACCGGTTTGTTGGCAGCGGGTTGGGCCGGGGCGGGTGCAGGTGTCATTGGGGCTGCCTGCGGGCAAAATTGGGGAGGCGGTCGTGGTGCGGAGTGCGCATGCAATGCTTTGCGCAGCTGATCGCGTAGAGCGTTCGCCTCAATGTTGACACACCAGTTCTTGAAGGCGCCATACGCCTTGGGCAAGGGGACACCCATGTTGTAGAGGTGACTTGCGATCTTGCTGCTCAGTCCACGCTCGAGGAATTCGATGAGGATGTTGTCCTGATCCCCCTTCTTGTACTTGCCCTTGCTGTCGGTGGAGGTGACCACGTTGTACCCTGCGTCCGCAGCCAGCATCTCGAAGTCGGAGATATAATCCGCAAAGGATCATCTCTTCTGGCGCAGAGCCATGAGTTGAGCGGCAGCAACTTGCTCCGCGTTGGAGTCCCCAAAGGCCCTCTGAAGTTCCTCTAAGAAGGTCACTGAGGTGACCCCAGCCTTTATTCCATTAAGGCTTTTGAAGTTACGCTGTTTCCAGTTTGTTGCCCATCTAGAGGTGGCGCAGCTTGTTCCAGCCTCGTTGCGGAGGTAGGAGAGGATGAAGAGGATTTTTGTCTCATCCTGCGAGAATCCCGACTGATAGGCACCGATGTAGGTGGGGCACAAGTCCACAAAGCCCATATATTTGGACTTGTCCCCATCAAAATAGGGGGGGTTGGCAGCAAGGGTGATGTGGTGGTGTCCTGACATGGTAGGAGCAGGTGTGGTAGGTGGTGGTTGTTTGGAGGGCAACTTGTCAAGGTCAGGGATCTCGTCTTCAGGCGGCAGGAGGGCAAGATAGGGGTTGGAGGACCCCGGTTGGTTTTGATGAGCCAGATTGGGTGACGATGGTACAATGGGGGGAGGGGACGGACTCCCAGACGACAATGGGAATCGGAACGAAATGGTGGATTTGTGTGCTGTACAAGCACTTGAGGAGAGGTTCTTTTGCTAGCAAAAAGATCCTGGGCCTAGCTCTTCATGTGCCCAATGATCCCGAGGTGCGTTTCCCGAAGGTCTCCGCAGCACTCCTTGTGTTGAGCACTGGGGAGAGCGTCTAGCAGCTCACCTGTGTGAGTGAGAGCTTAGTGTGGGCACTATGCGGGAGTAGTCAAGAGACTTGTATTAAAGGGTAATAGAGCCCTCCTTATATATGATACAGGGGGCCGTTTGTGTCTATTTGAAACGAGTTGATATGACTCTAGATGACACGTGATAGAGTCATAGATGTGTATCATGACATCCATCTGGCAGACGATAAGATCATCATTTGATCAACACTCCCCCACGCTGAAAACCACGGGATAGTGTTTGAAAGCGAATCTTCATTGGCCATTCCTTCAGGACGAGTTGAACTCAAGTCCTAGTTGAGATCTGAACTTCTCGAACTTGACGCGTCCTAGGTTCTTGGTGAACATATCTGCAGGATTCTCACTGCCCGGAATAAAGAACAGTTCAACCTCTTCTTCCTCGACTCGCTCACGAATGTAGTGATAGCGGATGTCTATGTGTTTCATCCTACGGTCTTGGTAGGCATTGCTGCCACTGAAGAGTGCACCCTGATTGTCACCGCAAATGGGTACTGGGACGGTGAGCTTGAACCAGAGTTCCGAGAGGACGCTCTTCAGCCACATCACCTGGCGACTACAATCTGAGATCGCCATGTACTCTGCTTCGGTCGAAGACTGCGCAACAGTACGCTGAAGTCTAGACTGCCAGCAAATAATCCCGTCTGCCAATTTCGTGAAGAAACCAGTGGTAGACCTCCTCTTGATCGGATCAGCAGCCCAGTCTGAATCGCTAAATGCAATTAGCCCTCTATCCGTCGCACCATTGAAAATGAGCGAATAATTCCTAGTACCAGCCAAATAGCGGCAGATATACAGCGCTTTATGGAGGTGGTCTTGGGACGGATTGGCGGCAAATTGTGACAATTTGGTCACAGCAAATGCAATGTCAGGACGTGTGCCTAGCATGATGAAGAGAAGAGATCCAATTACTGATTGGAATTTCTTCCTGAGCTCAGGATCGACTTCATCCTCATTTGGCATTGGAACATATCCAGCCGGTAGAGGGGTCGCTGCGAACTTGGCGTTCTGCATACCAAAACGCTCTAGCACCTTGTCGAGATAGGGAATCTGATCAATCTTGATCGAAGATCCTACTCTACTGAGGCGTACGCGCAAGAACTCTGGAGTATCTTCAGAATTGCGGCATTCCCATCGCTTGTTGAACTCAGCCTTGAGAAAGGCGAGGAGCTTCTTGTTCTTGGAGAAGAACAGTGCATCATCCACATAGACTATTATGACGGCTATGCTGCCATCAGAGTCCTTGTAGAAGAACACGCCGGCATCCGATGTCAGTCGGATCCAGCCCATGGCTTTCGTGGACTTGGTCAGCGCTTTCCACCATGCTAAAGCTGTAAGGGCAACTCCTGCCAGCCCGAAGGAAGAGAGCACACAGCACACAACAACCTCACATGAGTCTGAGCACAGAGGGGGATCCTTAGAGACTATCAAATACAAGGGAGGTATACTACTCACCTGAGCACAGAGGGGGATCCTTAGAGAACGGTTCAAGGATCCATGTGCCCAGGTGTCACACTATATAGTCAGCTGTGACAAGTGACTGATGATGATGGGATATCACTGCCATGGAACAATGGCAGATGACAAGTAGATAATGACAAACCCAGATAAGATAGTGAGTGGCTCAGAGGGGCCAGTGACGGCCAGCTCCTGAGACACCAACAGTGGAAGGCCACACTGGAGGAGCCCAGTGGCCAGGCCAGTGCCGGGCCAGCCAGTGGAGGCATCGGAGGCGAGGACCAATGCCCGACTGGGAAGAGGGGTGGTGCAGATGAGCGCAAGGCATCTGGTACGAGCCTGTACGGCAGTAGACCACATCCGCGGGGAGAAGGCCGAAGTGAAGGGGGAGGAGTGCGTACGGCAGTAGCACTCCCTGGTGCAAGGAATCGGGCTTGGCTAGACCGCTTGCGGGGATTCGAGGGAGATGGCCAGGGGAAGGAGGAAGAGGGCGGATGTCGGCATGGATGGAGATGAGGATCGGAGGAGGAGGAGGAGGCTGGGTGATCGACAGGTGAGCAGGCACGGGTCGGCAGAGAGGGCACAGTGGGTCACGTGCATGGTCACGTGCCCAAGGAGCGCGGCGTCCCCTGACAAAGCAGCTTGTTTGAGTCCATAGATTGCCTTGTGCAAGCGCATGACTTTGCGCTCTTGGCCTCTTGCCACAAAGCCTTTGGGTTGTTCCATGTAAACCTCTTCGTCAAGCTCTCCATAGAGAAAAGCCTTACTGACGTCGAGTCCAGACCAATGCCAATCATTTAGCGCTGCAAGTGCCATGACCAACCGGAACGTCTCATACCTGACGACAGGAGAGAATATCTCGTCATAGTCAACACCTTTGACTTGACTGAAACCCTTGGCAACTAGGCGGGCACGTTTTCGGCCATCAGATTTTTGGTCAAAGACCCAGCGACATCTGATAACCTTCCGTCCTTTCGGACGGTCCACAAGGGAATAGACCTTGCGCTGACGAAGTGCCTCTAACTCGTCGCGGCAAGCATCAATCCAACCTTTCTGTTGTTCAGAAGGCAACCGCTTGATATCGCGGAACGTCCAATCGCGAATTTTGGACATGTCAGGTAGGTTCTCATTTGGAACCGCTTTTGACAGCAGCGCCGTGATGAGCTCTACTCCCCCTTCCCGGCATAGCTTCTCCATGCGTGCATCCTCGTCTAGATCATCAGAAGCACCCGCGTTTGAGGAATCTGGTTGCGAGCTAGGGCCGGGAACCCCTGCATCAGCACCGGTTGATGGTTGAGATTGGGAGCTACCCTTATCTTCACCAACATACCGCTTCCAGCCTCTGCTGTTCTGAATATCACGGACTATGTCCGTAGGGTTACGCTTTTCCCCATAGACGTTTCCTGGATGTGTAGGCACATTCCGCTGGCGTGAAGACCTTCGAGGCTCGGGAGCTGGTGAAGCTTCCCGGCTTGGTCGTGGAATTCTACTTCTACGAGTCCTCTGAGGTTCATCCTGACGCTCTGGCGGTGGGTCCTGACGATTATGACCGTCGTCACCATCATCATTTCCTCGTACGGGAGGTGGTGGAGCCGGATCAGATGGCATGGGGAATGGAAAAGGATTATCTCCATATAGCCAATCTTCTCCGTCTACCTGTGGTGGATCTTGTGGATTCACTGGGTCATCACGTTCTGGAAATTCCTCTCCAATAG